AAGCTGAGCATAAAACATTCCACACCAGCCCCTTGGACTCCAGCCCAGGCACCTGCTTTATTGCTATGACCACTCTACAGAAAGGGGAAATGAGTGGGGGAAAGGCTGCTCTCCCAGTTTGAGGGGGGCCGGGAGTTCTGCTTCCTTGTGACCCAGAGCCTTGCCTTTCTCATCCCTCTCTCCGTCTCACCCCTACCACCAAATAGCAACTGGGGAGGACAGGAATTGATGCATAGCTGAGGAGCAGAGAACTGAAGGGAGCCCTGTCTAAGGGGTAGGCTCAGGGGAAGAGGTCAGAGGGTAGGAAGAATTCCCCCAGGGAAGCCAGTGAGGCCCAGGGTAGGGCATTCCTCTTCAAGGTCAAATCAAACACCTGGGTCACCCTAAGCCAAACAGGACTGGGGACCAAGAATGAGCACTTTCCTTTCCTTCCTGCAAAGCGTGGCGGATCTGGGATGCCCTAGATCAGTGGTTCTTAACCTTCCTAATGCCGTGACCCTTTAATACAGTTCCTCATGTTGTGGTGACCCCCAACCATAAAATGATTTTCGTTGCTACTTCATAACTGTAATTTTGCTACTGTTATGAACCGTAATGTAAATATCTGACATGCAGGATGTATTTTCATTGTTACAAATGGAACATAATTAAAGCATAGTGATTAATCACAAAAACAATATGTAATTATATATGTGTTTTCCGATGGTCTTAGGCGACCCCTGTGAAAGGGTCGTTCGACCCCCAAAGGGGTCGCGACCCACAGGTTGAGAACCGCTGCCCTCGATGGACAGGCTTATCCATGTCTTTGGGTGCTGATCACGGCCAGGCGCATAGAATAAACGAGAAAAGGGCCCATGGAGGTTACTGAGAGAAGCTAAATTCTTGAGTAGGAGGCAGTTTGCGGTGGAATGTTTGAATTGCTGATAGGTGGCAGCTGGCTCAGTGGTGGGTCAGCCCAGGCCCTTTCCTCTCCAGACCCTCCAGGGTGTGAGAGTGGGGAACACTAAGGCCCCCCAATACCCTTGCTTAGGAACTTCACCTCCCACCACCCCCCCACACTTCTCCCAGCGCGCACACCAAGGGGAAACTCTTAACTGCTCTAAGTTGGCCCTCCCATGTTGACTTTCTTTTGACACCAAAGACCATAGAAATCCGACTAATCTGACTCAGCCACTTCCTCCCACTGTTACTGTGGGAGCATCTGCCTGTGTGAGGTTGATTCCCAGGCTCCCCCCAAATGCTACTTGCTTCTTCCAACAAACATTGACCAAGCGCTGTTTTACGCTTGGGCACTGTGCTAGGTGCGGGGAGTCCCAGAGGCTAAGGGAGCTGTGCTCCTTCGATTTGACCTTGAATTTAGCCTGGGACACGGAGGTGGACACTGTAAGGGGAAAGGACTGAAGCTCCCTCCTCGGCGGCTCGGAGCACCTCCTGCACCGAGAACTCGGATCCAGGCAGAGCCAGGGGTGGAGCCGAGGCGCGCGGGGAGCCGGCAGCGGTGCAGGCGGGCACCGGGCGCAGAGCCGCCAGGGAGGGGCAGCAGGTTCGCGACGAACACGATTCAGCCCTCCAGCCCCGGACCCACTGCTCAAGGCCGCGGGAGCAGGGTCCTCAGAGCACGCTAAATGGAGACCCCCTCCCCCTAGAACCTACCAGAATCCACCCCTAGTCAGAGAACTGCAAATACAAGGTGGGCTGAGGGAATGGCGGGATTATGCGCCAAGAGGGAAGGGCGTGGGGGTGGGGAGCGTCAGGATCTAGGGGGTGTACCCTGGCAAGATGGTGGCAGGGAGATAGGGCTCCCGTGCAGGAGCGAAGACATGGACCCCCTTCCCCCCCACCCCTTCCTG